TGTATAAACCAAAACTTTTTTTTTTTTTTAAAAAAAACAGTATGATTTATGTTAAGTATGAAAGTGAAAGCAAGCTGGGCCTTGTGGCACAGGTCTGTAAATGTAGCTACTAGAGAAGTTGAAGCAGGAGGATCACAAGTTCAAAACCTGCTTAGGAGCAAGTTCAAGGTCAGTTTGGGTAACTTAGCGAGACTATCTCAAAATAGAAAGTTAAGAAGAGGGGAACTGGAGAGATGGTTCAGTAGTTAAGAATACCAGCTATTCATGCACAGGACCTGGGTTCAGTTCCTAGCACCCACATGGTGGCTAGCAACCATTCTAAGTTCTAGTGGATCTGATGCCCTCTTCTGGTCTCCTTGGGCTTTGTATGCATATGGTATACCTATATACATGCAGGCAAAACACACATAAAATAAAAAAATACATTCAATCAGTACTTAAAAAACACAAACTAGTAAAAGCATTAATTTTTAAATATACTATGGTAATAGTGTCTCTGACTGAGAACAGGTTTAAGTAATTTTTCTTTTTTTTTTTTTTTTCTGTCTTTTTGAGATAGGGTCTCCCTGCAGTCCCAGCTGGCCTGGAACTCACTATATAGATCAGGATGGCTTTGAACTCACAGAGATCTCCCTGTCTTTGCCTCCATAGTGCTAGTATTAAGGGCTTATGCCTCCATGCCCGACCTCAAGTAATTTTTCAGGAATAGATATATGGTGGCTCATTTCTGAATACCAGCATTTCTGAGGCAGAGGCAGGAGGGTTGCTATGAGTTTGAAGTCAGCCTGGATGATATAGTAAATTCTAAGTCAATCTGGTCTATAGAATAAGCCTTGTCTCAAAAAAGAAAAGTAATTTTTCTTCAAACCAGCCATATTCATCATATCTGGAAATGAAAAATATACCAATAAATGAACATTAATGGCTTAAACTAAGTATATCTGACATCAGTATAAAAAAGCACAATCTTTTGGGAGACTCTGAAAAACTTCATTTAATAATTATAATAACCAGAGTAACAACAATTAACTTTGATCACTCACTATGAATCAAATGATGTACTTATCATATGCATTACTTCCAAACAACTCTAAGCTGGGTTTGTAATCCCAGTACCCAGGAAGCTGAGTCAGAAGGATCAAGAGATCATGGTCAGCTTGAGTTACATAACAAGTTCAAAGCCAGCCTGGGATACATACATAGCAAGATCCTGCCTAAAGTATGTCCAACGAGGTAGGTAAAATTAATCCTATGTTACAGAGGAGAAAGCTAAAATTTACAAATCTTCAACATAATATATCATAATATTCCTTTACACAGATAGAGGATTAAGATAAACCAAGTAAGGCTAGAGATATAGCTCAGTAGTAGAGTCCTTGCTTAGCATGGGTGAGGCCCTAGGTGCAATCTCCAATACTGTAAAAAAAATAAAAAATAAAAAAATAAGAAGCCAAAGATAAATCAGGTCCTAGAAATTAAATGACTAACTCAAGAACTGTTCCACATTCCTTTTGTAAACATAAATTATCAATCAACATCTATTTATCTACCTATCTCTACCTGGAGCATTTAAAAAAAATTTTAATTGAATTTGTGTGTATTTCACACATAAAATCATCTTTATACTCCCTCCCCTTTACCCTTTGGCACCCTCCCATAGCCTCCGCACTGGAGTTCATATATTCTGCCATTTGTATTAAGGCCTAATATGTAAAGCTAGTGTCCCGAGATGTTCCTCAGTGTAAGTTCATCCACTGGGGTTTAGTTAGCTTATCTGGAGTCTCTCCCTTCAAGAAGATCAACTCTTCCTCACTCAGCAGTAATCACTGCCAATAATTCTTTGACTAAGACTGGGGCTTGCAATTCATTTCTACAGTTCTGTTTGCATGGGTCTTGTGCATGCTGACACCATTGCTGTAGTTTGTATGAGAAGGGTCCCAGCACCTCTAGGACTATTTCCATATAGTCATGCACCTTCTCCCTGTCTCTTACAATCTTTCTACCTCCTCTTCCAAAATGGTCCCTGAGCATTGAGTGGGTAGACCACAATATAGGAGACCTATCCAAGGACCCACACTCTGCTGACTCTTATTCTCTGTTTTGGCCATTTGTGGCCTTTTGTATTCCTGGTCCTCTGTTGCATGAGGGAGCTTCATTGATGAGAACTGAAAGATGTATTAGTGCTCTCTTCATCCCTTGTTCTATGTTCTGAGAGTTTTAGTGTCGTGGTTTCCCTCCCTTCCTCCTTCCCTCCCTCCCTTCCTTCTTTCTTCTCTTTTGATACAGGGTCTCCCTTTAGCCCCTGCTGGCCTGGAACACTCAATGTAGACTAGGCTGGCCTCAATCTTACAGAAATCCATCTGCCTCTGCTTCCCAACTGCTGGAATTAAAGGCATGCATGACCACACCTGGCATCATCCTTGGAGTCTTGATGAGAAATTTAGTGGTAATCTTTTTGCAGCCAATAACTACAAATTCCAATTCCTTGACTTCTTTTTAAATATATACAGTTACTAATAATATTAACATCAAAATTAAAGACTAAGGCTTTATAGCCAAATTCCTCTCTGAAGTTAACTTACTTCATCGACACAAAACCAACCTCCTCTTTCCTCTCTTCCTACCAATACCCCTTTGAGACAGTTTTCTATATACACAGGTTGGGTTGCAACCCACTATATAGCTCAAGATGCCCTCAAACTCTTGAATCTCCTGACTCAGCCTTCTAAGCTGAAGACTAAAAGTATGTGTCACTATGCTTCACTAATTCCTTATATAGTGCTCAATAAATACTAATTGAATGAATAAAATGTAAAGGAACCAGCTGGGCGTGGTGGCGCACGTCTTTAATTCCAGCACTCGGGAGGCAGAGGCAGGCAGATCTCTGTGAGTTCAAGGCCAGCCCAGTCTACATAGTGAGTTCCAGGACAGCTGGAGCTACAGGGAGACCCTGTCTCAAAAAGACCAAAAAAAAAGTAAAGGAACCTATAATTATTTCTCAATTTCAACAGGTTCTAAGTACCATAACGTAAGAACTAAATTGTGGATAGGGAAATTTACACAAAAAATAAAAAAAGAACCTCTTCTAGGGGCTGGGGAGATGGCTCAGTTAAGTGCTTGCAACACAAACATGAGGACCAGAGCTCAGATCCCTAGCACTCATGGAAAAGCTGTGCTAGTGTGTATTTGTATCCCCAGTACTTGGTGGGAGGAACAGAAACAGATGTAACTAGTCTAGCCTAGATGGTGAGTTCAGCGAGTGAACTCAAAAAATAAGGTGCAATGTGATAAAGAATGATATCCGATGTCAACTTTTGCCCTTTATACACAATTGCAAACAACATGTTGCACACACTCATGAATACATCTCTCTCTCTTTTGCTCTCTTTCTCTCTCTCTCTCACACACACTTCTATGACTACTTCTTATATTAGGCACTATCAACTATACTTACTGGTCTAGGGAGGGCCAGGTTTGCTCCATACCAATGATAAAGTGCTCTCCACACAGGTTCTGGGACCATTTCATAATCTCTTCCATGAATCAGCTGTGGAGTTTGTTTTAATCGTCCTCCTTCTAGTGTTAATGATGTAGCCTTAAAATGAAGTGTAAGTATTGATTTTTAATATTATAAAGTCTCTTATACATCAAGAAAAATCTAGTCATAGAACAAATTCATGTTACTTTCCAGTTTCATAATGCTGAAAATCATTTTTTTCTTTTTCTTCTTTGATTTTGTACTCAATAAACAACTACCACTGAGCTGAATCCCCAGCCCAGAAAACTGAATTTTCTAAGAGATTTCTATTTTTCAACAAACTATTTAAGAGAGGGAACTCAAAGCAAATCATTTTGAGACTGAAGCATTTGGAAATATGATTCTATTTTACAAATTTCTTTCAAACATCAAATGATATCACTTTGGAAAAAATTTCTATGTATATGTGAAATAGTATTTTTCACAGTAGCTGTCCTAAGAATAACAGTATTTCCAAGGATTACTATATTAATTCAAAGTAAGGAGTAAATGATAGTATATTCTCTCTCACAGAGATGTATTATGAAAAGACATTTCCACCTACAACAGGCTAATTTAAACAAACTACAATGCTTTGCTATGTGCTAACTCTCTGAAATTTATTGGCTACTTGAATAAGAACAATTTTAAGGTTCAATGTCAAATTACCTACCTTTACTGGTTCTTGGGTTACTAGAGGCTGATTATCAATAGCTCCTGGTTTCTGAGGATTAAGGTGCAAAAGAATACTTCCATTGGCTCCTAATAAACACTGGTTGTTATTGTCGGAAGTATTATGTTGCCGAGCAAAGCACATATCTGCCCCTGGTGTGGCAGAATACAGAAAGCCTATTAGGGGAAAGAAGATGGATCCCTTATTATTTATTTATTTGGTGTTTTTTTTTTTTTTTTGGTCTTTTTGAGACAGGGTCTCCCTATAGCCCTGGCTGGCCTGGATTTGCTATGGAGACCAGGCTGGCCTCGAACTCACAGAGATCTGCCTGCCCCTGCCTCCCGAGTGCTGGGACTAAAGGCGTGTGCCACCACGCCAGGCTGTTTGTTTTTTTGAGGCAGAGTCTCTCGGTGGGCACAGCTGGTCTGTGGTTTCATATGCAGACCAGGCTGGCCTCAATCTCTCAGAGATCTGCTTGCCTATACCTCCTGAGTTCTGGGATTAAAGGCATGTGATACCCTGCCTGGCTTTTTTAAGCTATTATACATGAATAGGTTTGACAATATAAACTCAGATGCCCATGTATTGAATTCATGTTATCCTGTTGGTACGTCAGTACAGTTTTAAATTTTGTTAAGTATATAGAAGATAGAAAGTATAGATGTATTCTTTTCTGACAAAAGACAATATAACATTAAATAGAACAAAAGCTTTAAAAAATAGAATAAAATAAAATAGAATAAATTAAATAGAATAAAGCTTTAAAAAAAAGTGAATATGTGGCCATCTTCCTAGAATACATAAAGGTCATAATGAGAATTACAGATCTCCTGACGGGAAGAAATGAAATATGCCAAGTAGCTGGGTTTTCACATAGCCTCCCTGAAATTCTTTCTTCTATTTGGATCCATATTCTAAATACTTCTGGTAGACAACAGTAATAGAAAGCCTCTAAAGAGGGGAGATAAATCAAGAACAACAAAATAATGTTGTTTTCTTAATATAGCTATTTAAAAAATATTCATGATCTTTTATAATAGGAAAACACACACAGGAAAATGATAAATAATGGCTTAGAGCTTTAATTTGATGGTATTTTCAGATGTTTTAACTCACAACTACATGTTAATCTTAGGTAATCATTCTATTTATCAGCTGCTTTGAAAACTTCTATTTGTGCTACTACTCAGCCTGTGGATAACAATATTACATAATAAAGCATGTATCAAACAGAAAGTTAGCTAGAGTTAAGAAATAATCTTGTTTCTTGTTTGGGGCTAAAGGTACTGTTTGTAGTAGAACATGCAGTTAGTTAGCACAAATGACACATTGGATTCAACTTTCAGCATTAAAAGCGGAAGGCAAGAGAGGGAGAGAAGGATATGAGGGTGAATTGTGTTGTGAAGCAGCTCACAATACTTCTAGGATTGCTAAACGATCTCTGCAATGTGAGATCAGGAAAGAGAAATAGTAGATTCTACAAAGAACTTTGTAGGAAAAATGCTAGCTCTAGCAGTTTGCTTACTTCCTCCAAAGACAAGGTGAGAAAATATTAAAGAGGAAAAAATGACAGAGTATGACTGAGGGTCTCACTATCAGCAGAGAGCAGGGAATACTTCAATTAGCTGAATATCAGTAATGTCAAAGTATCTTCCTCCTAAGTGCAGATTCATTAAATTTCAGGTAAATACAAAGGACTGAAGCGAATTATGGAAAATACTATTAATGTGTGGTATCTTAACAAAACAATCTCCAAATTCTGACACCAATTCTTAGGTGTCTATACAATCTGATATGAGGGCCCTAATCCAATGAGATATGTTTATGGTTAAAGAGAATTCTGGAGATAGAAAATTTCATTTTCTTAAAAATCTGTTTTCACAAATATGAATTTACTGGCAAATAGATTAAATATTTTTATATTGAGAAAGTCAGAGTTTGTACTTAAAAAGCAATTAGTACATGCAAGAATCTTGCAATTGATCACCTCATTCAAAATTTACTACTATGACTATAAGTCTGATGCCAAATACCCATGAAAGAAGACTCAATTAAGAACTAACCCTGAGTCTGGTGTGGTGGTGCATGTCTGTAATCCCAGTGCTTGGATAAAAGAAGTATCAGGAGTATCAAGGACATTCTCAGCTGTAAAGCAAGTGTGAGGCCAGCCAGTCCTATTAGGACCTGCCTATTAGGAAGCCTCATGGGAACCAAGTCATACTTAATATTTATTTACCACTGCCAGCAGATTCTGAGGCTTCAGATGCAGAAGAAATGTTGTCTGAAAATTTCTCTTCTGTAGTACTCACATAACTGAGGTTACTACTGACTTTATCTTCACCCTGTTCCATAGGGTGTATTGCTGTTCCAAATGAAAATTTTCCTCCATTTATAACTGATGATGGCTCAATTACAACAGGGTTGGCATCCTAAAATCATAGTTAGAGAAGAAATAAAATTTTAAGAATCTGACAACTATGCCATTTTCAAAAAATAAATCTCAAAACAATAAACATCACAAGTATCTATTAATCCTTATCATTATGGGTTGGTTACAGCCATTTAAAAACATTTTACTATGTAACTAAATTTTAATTTCCTTAATAGAAGAATGAGTGACTCCATGTCCACAATATGTGTGTGTATATATATATATGTATATCTTCTCATCAGGACATTGGGAAAAACTATTCCCCATGAGGACCTGAGTTTGATCCCCAGAACCCACCTAAAAAAGCTAGGTGTGATGGTATATAGATGCATACTTGTAATGCCAGTGTTGAGGAGGTGGAGATAGGAGGATCCCTGGGGTTCACAGATTGGGTTAAGCTGTCTGGCCAGAAAGCCTGAGGTTCCAGTAAGAGACCTTGTACCAAAAAACAAGGTGGAGAGTGCCTGAGGAAGAACAACATGTGAGGTTCCTCTGGCATTGACATGCATACACACTTTCAAACACATGAATACACATGTACACACACATAAGAGTTTACTCTTGGATGCTTTTTTTGGTATTAAAGAACAAAATAGGGTTGGAGACAGGGCTCAGCAGGTAAATGTGTTTGCTGACAAACCTGACAACCTGAGTTTGAGCTCTGGAACCCACATGGAAGGAGAGAACTGACTCTCTAAAGTTGTCCTTACCTCCACTTCTGAGTTATGGCACATGCATGCACACACAGAAAATGTGAAAAAAAGTTATTTTAAAAAGAACAAAATGGAGGCTGTAGAGATGGCTCAGTGGTTAAGAGCACTGGGTGTTCTTGCAGAGGACCTGGGTTTGGCTCCTAGCACCAGTTTCAGCGGATCCAATGCCTACTTCTGACCTCTGTAGATATGCACAACATGAGTGTACTTAATACATGCAGGCAACACACACACACATACACAAACACTAAAGAAAATATTTAAATAAAAACACCAAAATGTTATTTTTTATTTATTTTATTTTTTTGGTCTCTTTGAAACAGGGTCTTCCAGTAGCTCCAGCTGGCCTGGAACTCACTATGTAGACCAGGCTGGACTCGAACTCACAGAGATTTGCCTGCCTCTGCCTCTCAAGTGCTGGATTAAAGGCGTATGCCATCACGCCCAGTTTATTTTTTGTTAAAAAAATGCTAGGCCAGTGTTGATGATCAGTGAGATGGCTTAGTGCTGTGCAAGCATGAGATTTGAATTCAGATCACTTGCAACCACATAAAAGCCAGGTATGGTAATGCACCTCTGTGACCTCAGCATTGTGGAGGTAGATTCCCCAAGCTTGCTAGCCAGATAGCCTAGCTAATTGGTGAGCTCTAGTTCAGTGAGAAACTCTGTCTCAAAAAACAATGTGAAAAGTAATAGGGGCACTCAATGCTATCTCTGGCTCCTCACCCCTATGCATCTGTGCATCTACACGTACACACATAGATTAGAACGTCAGATGTGTGTGGTGGCATACGCTTGTAATCTCAGTACTTGGAAGTAACCGGCAGGAGGACTAAGAGACTTAGGTCAGACCCTGTCTTAAACAAGAAAATTATAGCAGGGTGAGGTGGTGCACACCTTTAATTCCAGTACTTGGGAGGCAGAGGCAGGTGATCTCTGTGAGTTCAAGGTTAGCCTGAGTCTACGTAGCGAGTTCATCAAAAAGAAGATGAGATAGAGAGTTAAGACACTTTTATTTACAGATCAAAGAGAAGAAAACAGTTAATAATGACCAATGTCTACAAAAAGCATCAATTAAGTTACCAATAAGCTCAGACTATGGGCTAGAGGAAAAGCTCAGTGGTTAAGAGCACTTGCTAGTCTTACAGAGGACTCGAGTTCAGTTCTCAGCACCCACATCATGCAGCTCACACCCTCTTGTAACTCCAGCTCCAACCACATAAACGTGGCATTCTCTCTCTGTCTCTCTCTCTCTCTCTCACACACACACACAAATCTGATGGGTCTTTAGGTTTTCTTTTTATTTACTGTTTTTATTTTTATTTTTTTTTAAATTTTATGTGTATGTGTATATTACCTGCATGTAGGTAAGTGCACCCGTGTCGTGCAATGCCCACAGAGGACAGAAGAGGCTGTTGGATCCCCTGGAACTGGAGTTATGGACAGTTGTTAGCTGCCATGTGGGTGGTGGGATTCAAACCCCAGTCTTCTGCAAGAACAACCAGTGTTCTTAACTGCTGAGCCATCTCTCCAGCCCCCTACTGTTTTTAAGTGTATGAGTCTTTTGCCTGCATGTAGGTGAGTGCACCCATGTCAGGCAATACTTGGAAATGGAGTTATGGATGGTTGTTAGCTGATATATGGCTAATGGGAACTAAAACGAGGTTTTCTGTAAAAGGTACTCTTTTTTTGTCTAATATTTTTATTTTATGTGTATGAGTGTATTGCTTGCATGTAAGTAAGTGCACCCGTGTTGTGCAATGCCCACAGAAGACAGAAGAGGCCATCAGATCCCCTGGAACTGGAGTTATGGACAGTTGTTAGCTGCCATGTGGGTGCTGGGATTTGAACCCAGGTCTTCTGCAAGAACAACCAGTGTTCTTAGCCACTGAGCCATCTTTCCAGTCCCCTGTAAAAGGTACTCCTAACCTCTGAGCTATTCTCTAACCGAGTCTTTAGGCTTTAGTTACTTTATAAGCAGTGTCTTCAAGACCCACATTCATAGATCAACTTTATCTATGGTAATTTGTATAATTATTATCAGTTTATTGAATGAGTTTCTCATTTAGACTACTGTCTAACTCCTCAGGTCAGGTGCTTATGAGATTCTGATCCACTGATTATCCTTTTAGTTTTTCTCTTTATCATAAATATTCTGTAACACTGACATACAGACATATATTCTCAGTATCTTTCCCTCTTTGTCTCCTCAATTCTTCTTCATCTTTTTTTTTTTTTTTTTTTTTTTTTTTTTGAGACAGGGTTTCCCTGTAGTCCTAGCAGGAGGACTAAATTGCTATCCTGCAACTCACTATGCAGACCAGGATGGTCTCAGTCTCAAGGAGATCTGCCTTTTTCTGCCTCCTGAGTGCTAAGACTAAAGGTGTATACCACCATGCCTGGCTGTCTCCTCAATTCTTTTCCTTTGCTTTTTTTCTTGTCTTTTTGAGACAGGGTCTCCCATAGCTCCAGCTGGCCTGGAACTCACTATGTAAACCAGGCTGGCCTGAACTCACAGAGATCCGTCAGCCTCTGCTTCACAAGTGCTGGGATTAGTCTCCTCAATTCTTATCTCCTCAATTCTTAATTTAAACCTTTGTTAAAAATGGTGAGACACTGTCTCAAAAAACAAACAAACAAACAAACGAACAAACAAAAACATAGGACCTTGGGGCTGGAGAGATTGATCAGCAGTAAAGAGTAGCACTGGCGGCTCTTGAAGAGGATCCAGGTTTGATTCCTAGCACTCACATGGCAGCTAACAACTATTGGTAACTCCAACATCTCTCTGACCTCTGCAGGTATTAGAGGACATAGGTGCACCTACCTACATACAGGCACTACATTCATGCACATAAAATAAAAATAATAAATAAATCATAGGACCTTTATTTTTTGACTGCTGAATCTGTTTTTTATAATTATTTATTTAATAATCACATATTTAGAAGAAGCATTTCATTACATCAGCATTGACATATTCAATCACAATTTTCTGAGCTAGGCTAGATCTCTTACAAAATTGGCTGTACATTTTTAGGTTTACAGTTGAATTATTACAGTTATACAGTATCATACTCAGCATAAACCCTATAAGACATAAAATTAAATGAAGTTTTAGCCTTAAAAAAAGAACTCCATTTCATTATTAAAATACAGAGTTTCAGGCAGAAAACTTCATTTTTAATGGCAATTGACATTAAGATGTTTGCACATGCCTTTCTCATCTCTGTATATCAGATTATTACTAGTCACAGTCGGTTACTTTCTGAGCTCCTTGGCATCTGGGCATGGATATAAAGTCATCAGGTAGATTTCAATGGTAATGTTGTTCACATCTACTAATTATTAAGGAGCAAATTTTTATGCTTTGTAGAATTTTTTAAATCATTATACTTTAAAAAATTTTTAATAACTACATGATTAGAAGCTTTTCATTATAGCTTTAACATATTCAGTAACACACTCCAGAGCAACAGTACATCTTTCACAAGTGGGTACAAGTTTCTAGGTGCACAGTTGAATTAATATAGTTATATATTATTGAACTCAGTATAAGCCCTGTAAAACGTAAAATTGGATGTTTTTAACCTTTAAAAAAAAATCTCCATTTCATTTTAGAATATATTGTTCCTTGAAGAAAGACTCATTGTTTTTGCTACTAACACTGAAATGTTGGCACATGCATCTCTAATCTGTATGTATCTGATTATTA